CAGCAGCAGCAGTGGCCACGATAGCAGCAGCCGTGTCCGCGGCAGCAGCCGTGGCCGCAGCACCAGTGGCCACAGCAGCAGCAGCAGCGCCAGCGGCAGCCTCCACCATGGGGCCCTGTCCGACCCGGCCAGTACACACACCGGTACGTGGGAGCTGCAGCTGAGGTTGACACTTGTGTTTCCAGTCTTAGTGCTTGTGTAGTTTCCAGTCCAGACGCCTCAGAGGTTCTTAGTGTCGGAACTGCAGCTACCACTAGTCTAGTCCCAGCCTTTGTCGCCGGCTCGGGAGCGACCTCACCGACTGCACAGCTTTCTTTCACTCTAGACTCTGGAGCGTCCAGCTGTTTCTTTCACGACTACACAGACCTCACGCCACTGCACACTCCAGTCATTGTCGCCTTAGCTGACCCCTCCGTGGGATCTGTAGTTGCCCACAGCACCACCGTTCTCCCGTGTCCGGCAGCTCCCTCTGGGTTTCTCACAGGCTACTACACCCCCTCGTTCTCTAGGAACTTGGTGGGTGTCAGTCACCTCCACGACCTCGGAGTTGTCACCACTTTCCCTTTGGACGAGCATGTTGCCTCCTGCACAGTTTGTGCCACTGGAGTGCCTCTAGCCACTTTCCACAGGGAACCGGGCTCTGATCTGTACTCACTATACACTGGGTCCCACCACACCGGGTCAGGTCAGGTCAGGTCAGGTAGCTGCTGTGTCGTGCGACTGTCGGTCACTCACCCACCCGTCAGTCCTTTGGCACCACCGTCTAGGTCACCCGTCGTTCCCACGTCTTAGTAGGATGGTACGTCACCGTCTGGTCTCAGGTCTTCCAGAGTCGCTTGCCCCGCTTCCTCGCTCGCCTGCACCGCCGTGCACTCCTTGCGTCAAGGGTCGGCAGCACGCTGCCCCTCACTCCTCCTCGTTCCCCCCCACCACGGCTCTCTTCCAGACACTGCACTTGGACGTCAGGGGCCCCTCCCCGGTCCGTGGCCCACGTCAGGAGCGCTACTTCCTGATCGTGGTGGACGACTACTCCCGCTACACCACGGTTTTACCTTTGCGACGGAAGGCCGACGTGCCTACAGTCTTCGAGCCGTGGCAACTAGCGAGGGGTGACGCCCAGGCCCTTTGTGGGCTCCGTCTGCACTCGGACCGTGGTGGTGAGTTTTCTTCCACACGCCTGGAGACGTTTTGTCAGAGTCGGGGGATCATCCAGTCTTACACGCTACCAGACTCGCCGCAGCAGAACGGGGTAGCCGAGCAACACATCGGCCTGGTCATGGAGGTTGCCCGGACCTCCATGTGCCATGCCGGTGCCCCCCAGTTCCTGTGGCCTCATGCAGTCCGCTACGCCGCGCACCAGCTGAACATGTGGCCTAGTGACGCACGGCCACGGGTGACGCCAGTCTCCCTTTGGACAGGTTCACCGTGTGTAGCAGCTGACTACCGCGTCTGGGGTTCCCTGGCCCACGTTCGCGCCCCTGGCGTGAACAAGTTGTCTCTGCGCACCCGTGCCTGCGTCTTTCTTGGCTTCCCGCTCGACACCAGCGGCTGGCAGTTCTACGACCCGGTTACCTGTCAGTTCTTCAGTTCCCAGGACGTCACTTTCGACGAGTCGGTCAGTTACTACAGGAGTCGCCCCCACCGAGGTTCTGAGGCCTTTCCCCCCCCGCTGTTCCTCACTCTTGAGCCCCCCCCAGTCGCCGCGGTAGCCCCACCCCCTTTGCGTCTTGCCCCGTCAGGTGTGTCGCACGTCACTCCGCAGTCGTCCCCCCCGCAGCGTCCAGTCCCTCTCGTGTCGAGGGGTGCAGGAGGGGCAGTTGCGGAGAGTGAGGGTACTGGGGCTGCTGGAGCCCGTGGTGCCGGCTTTAGGGGTGCAGGGGGTGTGAGAGAGGAGACCACTCCTGAGGAGGACACGGCTGTCTCGACTCAGCGGCCTCGCCCTGCCTCACTCCCTGGCTTCCCGTCTGTTCCGCAGTTCCCTCCTCGTTCGCCTCCGCGGCCGGTTGCTGCGGAGCCTGGGGGTGTTCCTGCCGGAGGCACTGGAGTCCCTTGGGGTGTTGTCGGTGGAGGTTCTGGTTCTGGGGGTGCTGGAGCTGGAGACACGAGCGCTGCGACGCCTAAGCCGCGCACTGTACGCTTCCTGACCCGTGTGAAGCGTTTAGACAGGTTGGAGAGGGAGGAGCGGGAGCGGTTTGAGAGGGCACGATAGCAGCAGCAGCAGCAGCAGCAGCAGTCTCAGTCGGAGCGTCAGGAGAGAGTAGAGGAGGAGTCACTGCCGCACCAGGAGAGAGTAGAGGAAGAGTCACGACAGCAGCAGCAGCAGCAACAACACCACCACCTCCAGTCTCAGTCGGAGCGTCAGGAGAGAGTAGAGCAGGAGTCACGACTACAGCAGCAGGTGCAGTTAAAGCCATAGCAGGAGAGAGTACAGCAGGAGTCCCGCCCGCAGCAGCAGGTGCAGTTACGGCCGCAGCAGGAGAGGGTAGAGCACGAGTCCCGGCCGCCGCAGCAGGTGTTGTTGCAGCCACAGCGTGAGAGAGCAGAGGAGGAGCCACAGGAGCAGCAGCGGGGGCATGTGTCGCAGCAGCAGTCGCCAGAGGAGGCGGAGCAGCAGCGACTCAGAGACCTACCCGACTCAGCACCTGCATGCTTTGTTCGTGGTCCCCTACCATCCCCTCCTGTTCCCCCTGTCGAGTCCCTTTCCTCGTCCCAGTGGACTCGTCGTTCTCCCCTCAGTCGTGATGTGTCCCCAGAGCCTCGTCGGTCCCGTTACCGTGCTGACCGCCCATTTCACCTTCTTCTTCGCTCTCGTGTTCCGTCTCCACCTGTCCTTCCACAGCCTCCTGAGTCGTCCTTCACTGTGCTTCACGACCCGTTGTCCGACTACCTCCGTGCCTCCCGTCCTGTCGTCTCCCGTGTTTTGTTCGCGTTGGTCACTCACCCAACTGCACCTTTGTCGTCTGTCTCAGTACTTGTTACCACTGTCGCTGACTTTGCCTCTTCCCACCGCCTTTACTATGCCGCTCACTTGGTGAGTGGCCCTGCTCGTTCTCCATCCTCTGGGGGTGCTCCTGTCTTTCCGTTGGAGGTCCTGGAGGACAGGCAGTTCGAGCTTGGTTTCCTTGCGGCCGCTGTTCCTCATCTCTGCGCCATGCTGCTTGCCCCTGAGGGGGATCCAGACGCCCTTGACATCCCGATCCCTCGCACTCACGCTGAGGCGGTCTCGGGACCCTGGGCTTCGTACTGGATAGCAGCTGAGGAGGCAGAGATGGCATCTTATAGGTCCACAGGCACCTACGTCAACGCCGTCCCACCACCTGGGGCGAACGTTGTCAGTGGCATGTGGCTCTACAAGGTGAAGCGGCCGCCGGGAGCACCACCGGTGTTCAAGGCGCGCTACGTGGCGAGAGGCTTCTGTCAGCGAGACGGGGTAGACTTCTTTCAGACCTTCGCTCCTACCCCGACGATGACCACTCTTCGGGTGTTGCTGCATATTGCGGCACAGCGCGACTACGAGTTGCACTCCTTGGACTTCTCCACCGCGTTCCTTCAGGGGAGCCTGCACGAGCAGATCTGGCTGTGTCTTCCGCCTGGCTTCACTGGCACTTTCCCTCCTGGGACCCAGTGGCAGCTGCGTCGACCGGTCTACGGCCTGCGCCAGGCTCCCCGCGAGTGGCACGACACGCTACGTACGACTCTTGCAGCGCTTGACTTCTTTCCGTCGTCTGCCGACCCGTCGCTGTTCGTCCGCCGTGGCTCGACCCCGTTCTTTGTTCTGGTCTACCTTGATGACCTGGTCTTCGCCACTCCCGACCGACGCGCACTGGCCTCCGTGACGGAGGAACTGCAGAGGAGACACACTTGCACTGACCTTGGTGAGCTGCAGCGCTACCTTGGCCTGCTGATCACCAGGGACAGGGCAGCTCGCACTATTACGCTGACGCAGTCGCATATGGTCGAGCAGATCCTCACGCGGTTTCGCTTCCCGTTCTCCAAGGTACAGCCCACCCCTCTTGCTGTGGATCATGGGCTCACGGCTCCATCTTCTGATGATATCGGTGTAACGTCTTCTCGCAGGAATCCTGGATTATTCAGTTTGGTGTTAAGCTCTTTTGGATGGCAGTCTGTCCAAGAACCGAAGGCGAGGCCTCCTTGACTGACTTAGGCTCATGCACCTGACCCATAAGGCAAAAATCAAGTCCATGCTCACCCCAATTAGCATCCACAAGCATGCACTCCTCCAAATCATGCACCTCATGATCATGCATGCAAGCATACTGTGCACTTGGTGTGAACGTCTCAGGTGGCCGAGAGATGTGTGTGGTGCGGCGCAGAGGTGATGCCTCCCCCTGCTCCAAACTTTGCAGCTTCTCCTTCCAAATCACTCTCTTCATGGGGGACCGTGGTGACTTGGACAGCTGCTGCTGCAAAGTTGCTGCCACCTACCCACAGGAACAGGCGGTGTATGCTGCTGTGGTGGCTGCTGCGGCTTCTCTTGTTGCTGCTGCTGCCCCTGTGGCTGCTCCGGCTCATGGGCTGGTGCGTTAGGATGAGGGGTAGAATTAGCAGTTGGTGACTCCTCATGGTGAGGTGCAGCTGCCTTTTGTTCCTCTTGCTGCTCCTCTACCTCCTTTCCAGGGTCCTCTTGGAGGAGTACAGCCGAGCACACCACCATACCTACAACAGGGTTTTCATGGGAACTGCTGAGGTGGGTGAAGCGGACAAGCAAGGCATTCATGACCACAAAGAGGTGCAATCAGAAATATGCAAAAAAGTTGTGCAAATAAGCATAAGACCCCCCTCCAAGCTGCCACCCCTTGCGATTCATTGCCAAGCAAACATCGCTTCTAGCTCAATGCATGACTACTGATGATCCTTGTGCAAGCACATGCCCGAGGCACACCGCCAGTGCTACAAGCAGCCCCTGTGCATCTACCCTCACACACACTGCCAATGCCCATCCTTCTGCCCACCCGCTTGCCATCAGCTTGCCAAGGCCCCTACACCTGTTCCCAACCCAGGCAGTGGGAGGTGCGCGCATGCGTGCGAGTGGGCGGCGCCGTGCTGCCACGGCCTCCAAAAGGAGCCTGCCAGGGGGATCCCCCTGTGCACGCTTTCATGCTGTGCCCCCCTACTGTGCACGCATTCATGCCGTGGGCCCCCCCTGCTGTGCACGGGGCAGCAGCACTACGCCATGCCTACTGATGTGCCGCGCCCATGCCCTAAAGTCAGCCATAATGGTCATTCTAGCTGAGATGTCCCTATACAATACGGAAATACTGCATTCACGTCAGCTGTATGTTTGCACTACAAGCATCAACACCCCATGCTGCGTTAGCGAGTCAAGAGCGGCTGAGGAGTGGCATACCTGTGGGAGAGGTGCAAGGCGGTTGGCTCTGATGCCGGCCCCTTGTTGGCGCAGGGCGCGCGAGAGATCATGCATGCGCGCTGCGAATGGTGTGGCATCCAGAGTCACGACGCGCACCCAGTGCAGCGACGTGCGGCAGCAGCAGTGCGTGCCAGGTGACGCGGTCCAGGTCCGTCATGAGGAACACAGGCAACCCATCCCCTGCCACGCTGCCATGCCGCCGCACAATGCCCGCAAGGGATGCCTCTGCTATGCTGGGCCGGGGGGGGAGGGGGGGGAGAGGAACGAGCACGCGGAGTGGCGACATGGACATGCGTGCGTGCATGGTTGATGTGGAGGTGAGAGAGTGGAGAGTAGCAGGCAAGAGTGGCGTTGACATGGACGCCCACACGGATGATGCTTTCATCCCCGCATACCGCAGTGTGGCGTTCAGTTTCGTGTTGTACGGCGGCTCCGTGCCCCGCACGTGCACACATGCATACGGCCGCCGCAAGTGCTCCCTCACAAACTCCACAGCTGCGTCCACTATAAGCTGCAAGAAGAAAGGCAGGGAGGCCTGCCTCACAGGCGGGAGGGAAAACGATGCCAAGGGGACACAGGAAAGCATCAAGAGCGAGCAGAAGTGAAAGGTGCATTTGCTTGAACCCTTTCCACTTACAATGCAAGAGAGGTGATTCGACATGCACAACTCTCCACAGTCATCCCGTCCTCGGAGATACCAAAACTTCGGCATGCTTGCCTCCACACCCACATCATGTCTTGGTGGAAATTCCAGGGAGAGCACGTGTGATGTCTAGTCGCCCTCCACTCTGTGAATGCTCACCACTTTCCTCACTTTCCACATGTACGCATCACGCGCTGTATAGTACACATGAGCAAGGGCCGAATCAGGACCGTGACGAACCTCCCCGAGCTGTCAGCCTTGCCGGGTCAAATTCAGGCCAGTTCGCCTCCCTTCACACCTGCCCAGCCTCTGCTATCGACGGGCCACGGTCGGCCCGAGTGGGACATAGTGCGGCTCGTGGCGAGGCGCAAGGGACACAACCTGACAGCGCTGATGGATTTGGCTCTTGGTCCATGAACCCGGACCCACTGGATCCGCGCCACCAACCACTGCACACACGTGTATTGCGCCCACCCCAACCGCCAATGCGCATTCAGCATCAACAGCGTTTCTCTATCATGGGGCTGCAGCAGGGCTCCTCAAGGGCAAGCCCATGAGAGAGCAGTGCAAGTCGGCATTCAGGGGTCTGCGTAGTGCAGCCCGGCCCGCTTTGATGAGGTCGGCTGCGAGCCACTTGGTCGCAGGCTCACCACCCACAAACTACACTCCGATTTGTCCACTCGTCAGGTGGGGCGCGACCCTTTGCTCATGCCTACTGTATGCATGCCACATGGTAACCACCCCATCAGTCGCGTACTCCCCATGCCCTTACCCTTAGTGCAAAGCCCTCCTACGGCTAGTGCCGAGTGGGCAATGAAGTCATGTGCAAGATCACATGGTCATGGCTTTACGACAGCAATGACCCAACACAGTGCGCGACAGCAGCAGTCCCATGCCATGGCCCCATGACGCCCCACTCCCATGCTCACAGCTGCCCCCTCCAGCAAAGCGCTGGACATTGGGTGCAGGCATTGACGTGCGTGCACGGCGGTGCATTCGCAAGGTGCAGAGGTCGCTACACTACCCAGAGGAGAGCCCTGTGTGCAGCAAGTGCAGCACGTGCGTGCGTGCACAAGTCATCCAAGCACACACTGTGCACGCACTTTCTTAAACGCGCAAACAGCACGGCGTGCAAAAAGCACAGCAGCATGAGCGCAAAAAGAAAGGATAGGTACTTCAGATGTGGCGTGCTGAGGGTGAGAAGTAGCAACGAGGTGCAGACACCATGCTCTCACCTCTCGTATTCGCTTGACGCGAGGGCCAGAGTCGAGGCGAATATCAGCGATGGGTGTGCGGAACATGGAGCCAAACGCCATCACCTGCGCACTCAAGGTCAGAGGCCCCGCAGCACATCCACATGCACGCATCACACGCAGCTCCTCGCTCGCACGAGCAATCACGAACAAGACGAGATGAGTTCACACAACTGCATGCAAGCACAATGCCGTATGCTAGGCGATGGGTGGGGCATCCAGATGGTGGAGCAAAGGGGGAGCGGCAGTGGCAGCAATGACCTTGGCAGTGTGCGGCAGCAGCAGGCGGTGCAGCGGCGTGGGCTTGGGCAGATACTCGTTCAAGTCCGTGTTCATGCACAGCCCCATCGGCTGTCCTCTCACCCACCGTCGCACGCGTGGCATGCAGGCTGCAAACACATGCGCGCACAGGAGGGGCGCGTGCAAGCACGCGGGTTGTGCACGGTGATTGGCGCACGGACGGAGTTGCGCCCTGGGCCTCAGCGGAATTGCACAGGGAAGGGCTTACGGTGGGAAAGACGGTGGGCGCGTGGTGGGGAGGGTGCCATCATACTTGGGCAATTGAATGGAGAAGCAGCAGGAGCAGAGAAAGGCCAGAATCGTTACCTGGAATAGTTGCCGATTGTCCACAAGGTCTTATTACACATGTGGGGGACACGGTACAGCAGGCCTTGCGCCTCCCACGCGGAGGCCACCTCACCCCCTCCGCCCCATGCCCCATGCACGGCGCCCCACACCGCGTCCACCACGCCCCCCAGCCCCGCGCGCGGCAGGGGCGCCGCCCCCAACCTTGCCCCGCACTGCTGGAGGCAGCGCACGCGCGCCTGGCAGGATGGGGCATATGGGGAAGCAGCATGCAGACAGGTGGTGAGGCGCGCTCGCCTGCACTGAGCACACGGCAGCAGCTCACACCCGTTCACCGCATGCTCATGCTGGTGCGCCCAGGCAAGCCAGCCGGACAAGCACAGTGGTGAGTGCTGCAGCGCACGTGCTTGTGGCGGGTGGGCGAGGCACAGCGAGGCAGGCATGATTACCTGGTGCGAGGACGTGGTTTTGCGCGTGAGCCCGTGGCACGAGGCCGTCCAGCACGGCACGGCGACGTCACAGGCGCAGAGGCGAGTGACGAGGTGGCGCAGGTCGATGGTGCGCACCACAGCAGGCGGTATGGCCGCCACTTGCAGCACGTCCGCCATCAACACGTAGTCCTGCCCGCACACCGCACACCGCACAGGGGACATGGCATGGGGCCGTTACCAACTGCACATCACGGCCATTCGCGCACACGTCAGGAAAGTGCGCGCAACGCGCATGAGCGCGTGCAAATGTGAAAGGACGAAGGCGCAGGCTAAGGGGCGGGGCGCGCGGCGTACGGCGCGCAGCAGGTGGCGCGAGTACACGGCCCACGCGGAGTCGCGGAAGGTGGCCGGGTCCAGGTTGCCGCCCGCGCCCGACATGTGTGGCAGCTTGGGTGGGATGACGAGCGTGCGGTTCAGCAGCGCCGCCATGTGCAGCGCGCGCGTGAAGCCTAGCACCTGCCGCCGAGTACCGGGGGAGGGGGCAGGAGGGTGGGGGGAGGAGAGGGAAGGGCTTCAGTGATGGGGTGGGTGAGGGGCGGCAGGGCGTGTGACAAGATTCAGGCACCGGATGTGGGACTCAGCCTTGCCGCAATGCGTTGAAATAACGGCCACTGTTCAGGCGCCTCCAAGATAGAGCGTTGATAGCGCGGCGGAGCGTGCGACGGACCTGGTTGTTGAAGCCGCTGTGCGACGCGTACACAAGGAAGCGCTCGTCGCTGCCTAGCGACCACTCGTCGCCGCCCTCCCCGTCCCTCCCCGCCTCGCTTCCTCCCTCCCTCTCCTCACCTCTCTCCCTCCCTCGCGTCACTGCCCCTCCCACACCCCCGTTCCCCGCCGTCGGCCCCATCCGTGCAGCACGGGGTGCGGGCGCCACGCGCTGGCTGAAGCCCGCCAGCACCATGGCGATGGAGAGAACCACGGCCACGGCACCTAGGCAACGCGCGCATTGATTCATCTCAACCCGCCTCTCGATCACTGAAGGACGGGCCAAGGAGCAGCATTTATGGTTGCGTAACCACGCAATGTATGGAAACTCGGTGATAGCGAGTCAACCCCAAATCTTGATCCTTCCTAAATGTAAGGGTGTGTAACCATTTTGTTTTTTTTGCGTGTTCGGACGGCCCTAGTATCTAGAACACGACCGTCCGTATTGACATTTCGCAACTTTGGCCCGTCCGGATGGAAGAGTGACACTTTTTTCGTGTTGTATATTTTTGCGATTACTGTAGCCTCGTTAGAGGCAATGTATCTTCGTAACTTGATTCACGACACCTCGCAATTAAGTCTCGCACGCCAATCATTAGCGGCACTGTACATTGGATTTCGCGCGCCAATCTATTACGATATGAAACTTTATGAGAAGGCATTCCTGTATGCTGCAGGGGCCGACTCTACCGAGTACGAAGTCGAGGAGTCAGAAGAGTCGAAGCGACGTCAGTAACCGTCTGACCAAGACCAATGCAGGCAGAAACATTTAAAGCCCGTAGGCAAAACAGTGACCCCCCCATTTCTAGTTGGGTCCACTAGAAATCTGAAACACACTTTGTATTTTGGAGAGTTGAAGTGTTGAGTTGTGATTTTTTTTTTTTCAGCCCACTCGGGGAATGAACGACTCTGTTCAGTTTGTTCAGGTCGCAAGCATGTGCCAAAGTGCCGCAAGGTTGCGACTTGCAATTTCCATTCTGCAAGTGCAATTCTCATTGATTAGCAAGTACAATTCACACAGAACAACTTCCATGAAACAAAACAGCATAAAATAACTCACCGTGGGAAGAAAAAGAGAGTATAATACCACGAGGGTGACGGGACTGGAGGGGAAACGAGGGGGACGGTGCGAAGGGGGGAACATGGGGGCGACGGGACGCAAGGGTGAACACGGGGAGGGCGACGGGACGGGAGGGGAGAGCACCAAGGCGACGGGAACGGACAGGAGGGGCGAGCGAGAAGGCGAAGGGATGGGACAGGAGGGGCGAGCGCGAAGGCGAGAGGACGGTTTGAATAGCACGAGGGAGAAGGGGCTGCTACAGGAAGCGAAAATCCCAACTTCGCCTACCTTTCGCCTTCACTGCGACAACCAGAGCGCCATCAAGATCGCGAACAAGCCAGGATTCGTGAACCGCACGAGGCACATCGCGCTTCGGTATTTCTTCGTCAAGGACGAAATTGACCAGGGAAAAGTTGACCTCACGTACTGCCCCACCACTGAGATGGCAGCTGACTTCCTCACCAAGCGACTGCCACGTCAGCAGTACAAGCACAGCTCCGATCTCACCGGAGTAGTCAAGCGAGTCAGCCCCTTGCGCGCCCAGGAATGAAGGGCAGTGTTACGATATGAAACTTTATGAGAAGGCATTCCTATATGCTGCAGGGGCCGACTCTACCAAGTACGACGTCGAGGAGTCAGAAGGGTCGAAGCGACGTCGGTAACCGTCTGACCAAGACCGATGCAGGCAGAAACATTTAAAGTGAAAAGAGCGGGAACAGGTTTTGAAACGGGTTCCCGTGCCGCACGGCTTGAACTACGCTGTAATAAGGGAATGTAACCCTTAGAGTACATGGCTAGTCTAGGTCATTCCGTATTCCTTCGTATTTCCTATAGAAACTCGATATATGCATGCTATTATTAATCTCAGTCATTTACATTCACTCTGACCTGAGGTCAATTCTTCCGCTGCGACACTACCCTGCGATCAACCCTGAGCGATCCTTCGCTAAGTCGCACTTGGGATTGTAACATGGTATGAGAGCTACTCAGGGATTTTTCGCAACTTCACTTCCGTGAAATTCGCCGAATCAAGATCTGGCGAGCGGCACACGCTCCAAGACCAAGATGGCCGGAGGATCCAGAGGCCAAGCGAATCTGAGGATCTCAGAGGAAGTCGAAAAGGATCTCGCGGCGATTCAAGAAGCGGAAAGCGCCGAGGCGGAACCTACAAGCATGACAGAAATGGAGCTAGCCGTCACCACTCACCGCGTTTTCGGGATCGGCGACGAAAGACTGGGGCTGACGGAGCAACATCGACCCACACCGCGCACCAAAACCCTCCGCTGGATTATGGAGGAAGCACATGGCACGACCTTTGACGAGGAAAATCGTCCGCGCCCCTACACGCGCGACGTCTACCGCACAATCATCGATAAAAAGTGGAAAGATCTAGACGAACCTGAGGTGCTGAGCATCTATGAGGAGGAAGAAAAGGCAAGTGCAGAAAAGAAAGCAAAGCTGTATGAGGAGCGCATAGCTGCAGGATGGGACGAGGAGTCAGCACGACGAGGAGCATGGGGAGACGACGTCGGAACCGGAGCAATATGGGGATCCGCCACTGGTGCTTCGGGCACCGTTCAAGGCTGGGGAACTGGCGGATGGGGCGATGCCGAACGACGGGACCTCGCCGAAGGCGACTTAACCCAGGAGGAAATAGAGGAATTAGAGAGGGAGATGGCTGCTCAAAGACCTCCCCCGCAAGTCACCGTCCCACTAGGCCGCCCTCCGCGCAACATCCCTTCACCACCCCACTCACCCTACCGCTGGTCGGATCCCTGGGCAGCAGCTCACTAAATCGGACAACAAACCTCTGTCACCCGCAGGACTCCAAATGTACCAGCAGAAACTAGGGTGCTTGCTGTTCGCCTCTGTCACCTGCCGACCCGACCTTTCGTACATCGCTAGCCAACTGGCACAGTACTCTCGCAAGCCAGTGGCAGAGAACCAGCTGGACTTGGAGCGCGCCCTCCAGTACTTCATTTCCACACCTGTCATCGGGCTCTCCTACTCCACACTGACGACAACCTCCTTCAACCTCAACGGCTACGTGGACGCAGATCATGCAGCTGATTCTGCGAATCGACGGTCACGAACCGACTTTGTCTTCCGCCTGGAACCAACAGGACCAATTTCCTGGAACTCGCAGAAGCAGGAGCTGGTTGCCCTGTCTTCGGCCGAAGCAGAATATATCGCCGCGACAACAGCAGTTCGCTAAGGTCTGTACTTGCAGGAGCTGCTGCAGGAAGCGAAAATCCCAACTTCGCCTACCTTTCGCCTTCACTGCGATAATCAGAGCGTCATCAGGATCGCAAACAAGCCAGGAACCGCACGAAGCACATCGCGCTTCGGTATTTCTTCGTCAAGGACGAAACTGACCAGGGAAAAGTTGACCTCACGTACTGCCCCACCACTGAGATGGCAGCTGACTTCCTCACCAAGCGACTACCACGTCAGCAGTACAAGCACAGCTCCGATCTCACCGGAGTAGTCAAGCGAGTCAGCCCCTTGCGCGCCCAGGAATGAAGGGCAGTGTTACGATATGAAACTTTATGAGAAGGCATTCCTGTATGCTGCAGGGGCCGACTCTACCAAGTACGAAGTCGAGGAGTCAGAAGAGTCGAAGCAACGTCGGTAACCGTCTGACCAAGACCGATGCAGGCAGAAACATTTAAAGTGAAAAGAGCGGGAACAGGTTTTGAAACGGGTTCCCGTGCCGCACGGTTTGAACTATGCTGTAATAAGGGAATGTACCCCTTAGAGTACATGGCTAGTCTAGGTCGTTCCGTATTCCTTTGTATTTCCTATATAAACTCGATGTATGCATGCTATTATTAATCTCAGTCATTTACATTCACTCTGACCTGAGGTCAACTCTTCCGCTGCGACACTACCCTGCAATCAACCCTGAGCGATCCTTCGCTAAGTCCCGCTTGGGATTGTAACACAATCTTTGGCCATGATTTTTGGACCGTCCGTTTGGGTTCGGAGTGTCCACGTTCACATTTCAAACCGCTGAAAAGAGTGTTGATATAACCTAGGAGTCGGTCGATACTATCGACTCGATAGGATAAAGCTAGCCAAGTAGAGTAAATACAACGAAAGTCCTTGATTGGCCTTGTTTCTGATAAGTTGAAAAGAAACAAGATGATAAAGATAGCATTAGAAGGGGTTTATATAGCAAACCTAGCTAGCCATGTACTACAGGGGAGCACATTCCCTTATTACCTGTTTTGGAGGCATCGCTACAGTTCCGATGACTATTGCGATCCTTACGGTTACCATGTTGCAGTGCGTAACCTCCAATTACGGTTGCGGGATGGTCAACTGTCGCGACATCAGAAAAGAACCAGTGCCCTGCCTTGAAGAATCAGGATCTCATTAAAATCTTGCCCTTAAAAACCAGCGCGTTTTTTCAACTTCTGAGAATTTGCCCTGAGGCATCAGGGTCCCCAAAATTGAATATGTGGGCCTGCTCTAAAGCTTTGCCCTGCACAATTGTTCTAGCTGAGCAGCAGGAGATTGACATGTACAACAAAAGAGGCAACAAGAAAGAGAGAACCCCTATTTACGCAGGAAGCTGAGAAACGGAGAAACAACACCAGACAAAAGAAAGAATCAGCCGTCACTACCGCTACTTCCACACGTGGGAAGACATGTTCAAGGACTCACCTGCAAAAGAGGAATGCTTCGTCGAAGCAGATGAAGTCAACGAGCTGACGGTTGGACGATTCTCCTTCGATTGGGAAGTGCCAAAATTTGATCGCGGAATTGCCACCTGCACGCATCGCAGAAGAAGATGTCGAAGGATGGAACTATGAGCAGGACACAGACATGGATCAACTTTTCACGCCGCTGATTGCCAACATCGCAAAGGAAGTACAATACGGGTTCAACACATAGTACTGGGACATGTGGTGTGGACAACACATGGTCGCCTCTTTGACGTTCATTCTCAACAGCGAGCCGTTGGTGAACGAAGTGGAGATTACCGTCGCCAACAATCAAACAATTAGGGCGAAAAACTGTGGCAAAATCCAACTGGAATCTCGCGACTCCAACTTCTCAATTCACATCAACGACGTCATCATTGTCCCAAACCTTCAATCCAAACTTCTCCCCGCCCTCCAACTGATGAAATGCGGAGTCGAGCTGCGATCACACGAGACGGAGTTCCACTTGATTTACCAAGA